CCCCCCCTTCCTCTCTGAAATCAATAGAAATATTTTTTAAAAATGATTATCTCTCATCATTGATGTTTCTCTCTTTTCCTTCCTCTCTCCCCTCTTCTACTCCCCCCCTCTCCCTCTCTCTCTGAAGTCAAGAGAAATATATATTTTTTAAAAAGATTGCAGTTTAAATAGCTAGGTAGTGCTTATGAATATACCTTTGTACTAGGAGTCTCCAGGACCCCTCCTAGGTTTGGTGATTATGTAGGAAGAACCACAGGACTCAGTATATAGTCACATTTATGGCTAAGAGTTGTTAACAGGGAAAGGATACAGAGCAAAATCGGCCTGGGGCAAAGTCCGGAGGAACAGCTTCAACAGTCCTCTCCCAGTGGAATCACCGGACACGTGTAACTCCTCCAGTGAGATGTGGCAGCATATGTTAAGTGTTTTCTAGTGAAGCTCATTAGAGACTCAGTGCCAACGTTTTATTGGGGTTGATCATATGCGGGGACACTCTCCCCAGCATGTACCAAAATTTTAGGCTCCCAGGGGTACAGGCAGGTGTTCAGCGCAGGTGCCACCCTGGTCACTTAGAGGAAGTTTCAGATCAGTGTAGGGGACTGTTTACCAGTCAAGTTCCCAGACACCATCTCAGGACCCCCCTTGCCAGCAGTGGGCCTTTCTAAGGAGAGCAGCCTCAGGCCTCTGTTAACTCTTCTCTGCCCAGTCTCAGAGCTCAGCTTACATGTCACTGCATTCTGTAAGTTTCTTTCCCCTTAAGCAGAATCAGTTTCCGCACTCATTTAATGGTTATTTGCTCTAGGCACTAGGTATACAGATGGCATAGAATTTTGAATGGCAGTATTGCATTGTGCTGTTATTACGTGTATACTACCAGGGGGAAAGCACTTCACAGACTGTTATTTTTCTTTCACTCAGCAAAGAGTCTGGCATGTATCATTAGCTTTGTATAATAGTGTATAGTTTACAAAGATTTACAGAGAATTCTACAAAAAAACCTGAGTCAAATAACAATTCTCAGGATTAACTTACTCAAAGTCACAGCTGGTGAAGGGCAGTACTGTGCCTCTAGAGTCCATATTTTTTTCTAGCACTTTAGTTTTTTGACTGAATTCCTCAGAGCCCTAGAATGTGTACAGGACTTCAGATGGCAGGTAGGTAGGTCAAGGAGGAGGCCCAGCTCCCACCTGTATCACATAGAGCAGCTTCACTGTTACCCGGTACATACTGGCATTCTGCGTAACGCTTTCTTTGAGGAGGAAAGGATTCTGGTAGAATTAACCCCTTCCCCGGCAGAAACGTGTATACTCGTTTTCACAAAATGTTCTTTTTCAGTCGTCGACGAGTATACTAAGAAAATATGGTAAAAATGCAGACATAATATATTCTGCAAGATGCCTAATAAATTCTGCCTAGTTTGCTTCAGTGATTAGGACAGCATTTATGGTGTTTTATTGTGGTAAAATCACACAAGGAATTCATTAGTAACAGCCACATCCCATTTTTTAAATGTTAGTCTACCATAATATCCAATGGAAAGAAGCTGGGCCTAGCAACTTCACAATATCTCAGTGAAACAATGTTAGCATCATTAAATGCATTCTCATAATGATCCAAACAGCTCTGTTATCTCAGCACAGCACAGTGAATATAAATCTAAAGCATTGTGCCATTAAGAGACCCGGAAGTTAAGTTGTTATTACATCTGTAATCTTGGATGTAATAGAAAGTTGGAGAACTTCTTATCTATTAAATTAAGGAGGAGCGAGCTTTACTTGTTGAATTTTGATATCTGGGCCCTTAAATGTAATGGCAGGTGTGTGTTTGGAGATAAAGGGAACTTTCAATTATACCTTTTAATGACGATAACCATAGCGGTCAGAGCACTGCCACCTTCTAACCAGGTAGGTCATAGGTCTGAGGAAAGCTGTGCTAATGCACTGAGAGATTACAATGGGGATTTGCACAGAGATAGAGTTGAGTCTCCTGGGAGGACATTGTAAACAGTTTGTTAGTTTTTGCCCCCAATAGCCAAGTCAGTAGAGGAGATAAAATAAGAAGATGAGTTGTTGAGAAGTTGATGTTCATTCTCCAATAGAAAGACCGGTGTGTAGGTTATTTGTTGCACGAAGGCACCACATCTAAGGCGTTGTGTGTGTCTTTACCACAGTGTTTTGGTACTCTGTTCTGTTGATTTAGCTACTAAAATATACAGCTACCTTCTGCTAAAAATTATCTTTAAAAATATTACTATACGTCTTGTACCCCAACTTTTGCCCTGTAGGGAGTTCCTATTTGTAATAAGCAGTTGACTTAAGTATAAAGTAACATGAATCCAAATTAGAAGGCTGTTTTTTCCAATTTCAGTTAGAAAATAAAAAGGTTGTTTAATACACTTCTCTTTAAGAAGTCATTCAATTAGATAGGTTGGTTCCAGTATATTTTGTTTTGGAAGAGTCAGAAAAGCAGTCCCCAAATTTCCAAGTCATGACAGAAGAGTTAATGAGCAAATATTTGGGCATAGTTTGAAGAGCAGGTTACATATAGGATGGAAGTAAAAGTAAGGCGTGGGGCAATTCTGTCCTTGGCCCTTGCAGCAAGTGGTTATTTCCTGATGGTCTGCTCCCCTGACGCCCTGGATCACCTGTTCAAAGTTGGTGCGTGCTTGGAGGATGCAAACTTATACTAACTAAACAAAATAATTAAGAAGCCAGGCCACTTGCCAAAACTCATAATTCCTGCATTCCCAAACTAAGCTTAAAACCTTCTGCAATATCCATACTGTGGCTTCTCTCCTAAAATACTAATGTGCTTTATTCTATACTTTAATATATATATTTAAATTTTTCAAAGACCCTATACAGAGTGGTATTTAAGAAGTTTAAAGGTTAAGATCAAATTGGGTACTGCCAACTTCTTAGCTTTAATGGGTCAAGACCACTTCTCATTGGCACTAATGCCTTTGCATTGATGCCATGCTATGCAGTGAGACCTGTCTTCTGGAGAAGTTGAGAATAATTGAAAATGACTTGGGGATTCACTACATACTTTCTTGACATATAATGGTCCATAGGTATATATCAGGGAGTAGGATCTAATACCGGTAAGTGACTGACTAAAACCTGTTTAATAGACAAATGCATATATTAATGGTACTTGTCTATGAAAACCACCTTGATTGGATGGTTTAAAGTCTCATCTAGAAATGTGGAGGATAGCAGACTACCAGGATAACCAGCTGAATGATAACTATGCGTATGAATGTGAGGGTGCTTATTTCTTGGACGAGCTAGAGAACGTTTGAAAAGTGAGGGCTGTTGAAGTCCTATTCTGCTTAAGGTAACTGATCCCATGCTTGAGTGAGGGTGCTTATTTCTTGGACGAGCTAGAGAACATTTGAAAAGCGAGGGCTGTTAAAAGTCCTATTCTGCTTAAGGTAACTGATTCCATGCTTGAGTTTTACCTGCAAACTGGGCGAGGGCTTGTCTCGCCTATCCTGGACTTGGGCTCATTTTCCCCCCGAGACTCGTGGAGAAAGAGGCTGTGTGCCTATGTGGGTAGGCCTGGCCTTGAGGGGAGCTTTCAGCTCTGAATCAGAACACAGTTTCACTTGAGAAACCAGGTTTTCATGATCCAGTTCTCCCTGAGGAGAGATTGCCAAAGGCAAAGGAAGTGTTGCATAGTTGAAAAGTAAAAGCGAGAAAATAAGTTACATGCTATTGGAATACGTGGCATGACTTTGCTGAGGCTTCAGTCATGTAAAATCAGACTCTTCGTAATGTTTAAGTATCCATCCCCTGTGACAGATTTTAATATTCTTTACTGTGGTCATTAAGTGAGAGCATTAATGGGTATTTCTGTTGACTTAGCTTATTCATTTATTTGGCAAGCATTTGAATCTCCCAGGCACCATGCTAGATGCAGCTTTAAAAACATGAAGAAAATGCTTTTTTCTCTTCTTTCCCTTCCCTCTCAAATTTGAAAATCAAATTTTAGTTTTGGAATATTTTGCTACATTAATGTGTACTACAGTCAAAATGAGCTTTTTGTTCCAGCTAAAAGGTAGAGTGAAGATTAAAATGTAAGAAAGTTGAGTTCCCAGTTGTTGAAATGTAAAGCTTTTCATTATTTCCTGCAGGTTCACCTTCCTTCCTGTACAGTATTTTCAAACTTCCCGGTCTTTAAGCGGAAGAATCTTTCTCTTGTGCATACCATGGATTTTTCTCCAAGAAGTGGATATTTTGCTTAAGGGAATGAAAAGGGCAGGGCCCTACTGTATAGGTAGGTATTATTTGAGAATCATTGATCAGCTGCCTTCTGCATGCCCCACACTGCGGATTGAGCCTAAAACCCAGATTCAATTGAGTCACAAGAATTGAACCTTGATCTCAATTCATAGGTTGATGCTCAACCCCTGAGCCACACTGGCAGAGCGTCCTTGGGAATTTCTTATCCCA